TGGTCTTGTTCCCCTATGTAGCTGATAGCAAACACTTCCATTTCCAGAGGAACTCATTCAGGTTATCGAAGGGGACGGTTACATTTCAATTCATGCAGTGACACTACACTGAATGGCATTTAATCACTTCTTAGAAAGCAGTCCTGGTGCTTATGAACTCCCAGGAAAGCTGCTATTCAATTGCCAGCTAGATAACTTGTTTTTCGTTGCCAGTAGAGAGAAGACTTTAAATGCCCAGGGAATGATGATGCTTGGTGGCAAGTGTAAGCTATAAAATATTTAGCTTTAACAACAATTGTGTTACTGCAGTTTCTAATAGGATTTGGTGTCAGGCGGACATCTGCCTTGGCCTCTGGCCCAAAGATATAGAAACAATGTATTAAATTGAATGTTGCATTGGAAATAAATAAGGCAGAAATACAGTTCAAGTAGCTTTACTGCTGACCAGCAAATGTGTTAATTATCTAAAAGCAAAGTCTATCAAAAGTCTAATAATTTTTCTAGCTCCTTAATACATTTATTGTATTTCATCTGAGTAGAGGTAGTTTATGTAGGTAATTGCAAGCTGGACTGACAGATCTTTATAAAGCTTTACAAAGGAATTGGCTTTCACGGGGCTTCTTGTCAGCAGCAAAGTGATCCCCTGATCAGACCATCAGCCTGGGAGCTCTGTCTCTGTCACCTGAGTCTGTTTATGATATCAAGTAAATGGTGTTTTTGCTTATGCATCAGCTTCCCAGACTGAAAAATGGGAATGGTAACAGCTAGCAATTTCCTATTGAACTAAGTGATATTCTTAAATGAAAGACAGCATGGGGTGAAGTCTGCTGGTGGTATGGGCAGGATCGTAGCAGTTCAGAGCTTCTCGTAGGGTGGGGAATGATTGCATTGGGAAAGCAACGAGTGGGACAAAAGATTGCTGCTGAGTTTCCCACAAAATCTACCAGCTGTGAGACTGTTCACATTCAAAAACGTCCCCCGAGAGAAATGGTAAAAATACTGAAGTATCTTCAGCAGTTACAAGTCAATGTGATGCATGAAGTAAAGCAAGTTCACTCCAGCACACAATCTGGTTTCTTTTCTGCTTTGATAATTAAAGCTCTTGTGTAGGAAGCCCCCTCATGCCTCCTTTTTTTTTTTTTTTTTTTTCCTTCTTTGCTCTTGTGAAAATCTTGACTTTTCAACTTGCTGGATCTTTTCTATCTCTAGGTTTAATTAATCCAAAAACACTTTTATACATCCTTCTCCTTTTCCGAAGGGAGGATGGTTGGACTCAGGTGGGGAGGACCTGATGCCTCAGGAAAGACATTTCTGCACTTTCCTCCGAAATGAGACCGTGTGGACCTGCAGCCAGTGCATCATTATGTCATTTACTCGATGTCTGCTAGGAGAGCACCATGTTTACAATGTTGGTTCGGGAAATGACTTGTTTTTCCAGTTGCTAATTGGATTTGGAAGCTGGCAGGACAATTGCTTCCATACACAAGCTTCTGCAATCTCCCTTTCAATCCAGCCCAGGCTAAGTCTTTCCTGTCTGTCCCCCGTGTGAGCTGTTGGCCTTCGAGAAATTTGCTCCTGCTGCCATTTGTCATCAGAAGGTGCCTAGGAAGCAACATTTTCCATGTTCTCTTTGGCCGCTGGAGCGAAACCAGATGATAGTATCATGCATCATCCGTTGGCTGACCCTCCAACTAATAATCTTCGCCCTTACCAGCTGGTGTCAATCAGATCACTTCAGAGATTTGGAACCCAAGCAAAAACTATGGGAGTCAGATTGAAAACAGAGACCATGTATCTATTTCCAACAGCAAATTGTCCATGGTCTCACAGTGAACTTTAATAATTTAAGGAAAAAAAAAAAACACAACAAAACATTGTCAGGATTCTCTACCATTGTTCCCATGGCCTTATTCATAAATTACCATATGCAATTGTGTGTGTATTGGCAAATATCATTATAATTATGCAGAACAACTCACAGAATAAGTTTTAAAATGGAAACTAGAATCTAGCCATAGCTACAGTAACCTGTTTTTAGTTATTGAATGACAGCTTGTCACCCATATAGCAATGCTGACTATGGGTATACTTGAAGGACGAAGGTTTTTTTTTAGATAGTTGCTTTGTGCTCCTCGCTTAAGGGTTTCCTTGAATCCTGGAGAGTTTAATCTCTTCTATATTCTTGCCCTATAAAATAGTATTTTGGCTAAGTCCTTGTTTCTGTGAGAGATGTGCTAATTTGACCATTTGTTTCTTCATACTTTTTAAGGTTCCCCCATCTCTACTCCCTATTTCCTTACACCAGTCGCCTATCACCTTTGGTTTAATTTGAAAGGTATTAGAGCAGCATACATGCTTTTTTGTGTGAACATGTACCCTCCAGAAAGCACAAAAATTGGGCTAGCTCTGTGAACTGTTCAGCCCTGTGTATAGCAGCCCTGGGATGAAGTTAGAGGTGTTTATTAGAAGTCTTAAGTGAGTAATGGTTTTCTGATGCCCGCAATGTTCCAAGTAAAAAGAAGGTCCTGTTTGTGATCGTTCCCAAGAATAGAAATAGGACAATGCTGAGAACTTAGACTTGTTGCTCACAAGTCTCAAGCTTGTTCTGCCTGGCTTTGGAGCTGGTGAGAAGTTAGCTCCACTTCACTTAACGCCTGCTATATGGAAATCCTTTTTCAGCTGTGTTGTAGCAGCTTTGGGACAGCAATATACTCTGTCAGTCTTCATCAATCTTCATCGCTTCTCTGAATTTTCTTGTTAGTGAAGAGCTCTGGGGAGTGTGCAGAGACCCTGGTTGTGCTGAGCTGCATCAGGCAAGTCTCTGGTCTTGACTGCTAAGAAATGGTCAAGAAATGGTAAGTGGCACCAGCCACTGGGGGAAGAGGTTCTTTCCCTCTTCACTTGGTTCTTTCCATAAGGTTATTCAAGGGCAAAGTGAGTAAAATTAGACCACGTTAGAAATGTTATGTTTAGTGATAATAGTAAATAAATAAATGAAAGTAGTGCAAAAGAAAGCCCTTAAGTAGGATGAAGGTATGTTAAGGGTCCACTCTATTTTAAATAATATAAGGCAGTCAGGACACAATTAAAAGCTATTGAAGTGCTTCAGTGGAGAACGTACAATGGGTTTTATTCATCTCTTCTTTTATTCCTCTTGAGTTGCGTGTCCATAATACATTGTAATGCACTTAGGGCACACTCAAAAAGAATCCTCTGGGAAATGAGGATTGAGGAGATGGGGTCTAATGTAGGAAATGTAATATGTGTGCATGTTGTTGCCTTTTGTGATGTAAAACGAAAGGCCTGTGGATGAACAACTAAATCTCCATTACCTTTTATTTTTTTTTTTGTGATAGAGTAGTGTCTGTGACAGTGGATGGGATCCAACTGCCTAAATATAGTCTTGTCTGTAATATTGTCCATGATGGTAAGATCCGCATCTGAACTAGTCAGTTGAACAAAGTTCTGAATCTCTTCTCTACACGGCTTAAGGTTAACTTCCCATCTGTGGGAGGATAGATCCATGTGTGTACCTGCTATTATATGAGCTCTTATACTTGAAAATCAGCAAGAAATGCACCAGCCTTGAATTGCTATTTCATTATTCGAGGAAGTGTGCCTGCTATTTGATCAGAGTAACGATAGCAAAGCAAGCTCAAAGTGTTGACTGCGTGCTGTGATTGTATTTCCATACACCACAAAGTGCCTACCTGCTTAACATTAGGACTTACGTGTTAGAAAGCTGAGAGCACTTTCCTGTAACTCACCTGCTGCATGGAGCTGTCTGGTTGTGACAAGTCTTATGTCAAGACTTAAAACATGAATGCCTGGAACTGCTTTTCTTATTTAAAACTGCTGTTGCCCTTCTTCAATAATGAAATTATATCACGTCCTTTAAAATAGCCTTCAGATACCTCTGTCACTCAGAGAACACCTATTCAGAAATACACTTCTTTTCATTCCTATTTAGAAACTAACATACACATTTCTCTTACAGCTGTTTTTGTTTGTTTACCCCAAAAGGAGTTATCTAATATATTTATTGCAAGTAGGTCCAGAATGAAGAAATTCTGTGAAAGTGGGATTTTTATTCACATGGCCAATATTTCCATCCCCCTCTAGGACAGATGTACTCCTAGTGCCCCTCCTGTATAGCTGAATTGAATTTTAATCTGATACACATTTCATTCTGAGAAAATGAGAAATAATAGTCTGGAATGACCTATAGTGTTCCATCATTTGTCCAAGCCTGATTCACGTTTACTCAGCTTTTGCTCACACTTTGGTCAAGAAAGTACAATGATTTTCATTCTCTTTTTGAAAAATAATGTTTACTAGACCATATGCTTCTTTTATGAAAAATAAGTTTTAGCCCCAATATTCTGAGCTGCCCCTGAAACAAGATAAAGGTGTTAGATATCATTTGGCTTGTCTGTTAGCTGTTCTTGAAAGATGAATAGCCAGTGTTTTCGCCAAAGTCAGGAAATTTGAGATGATAACTAGAAACAGAATAAAATGTGGAATGGTCCCATCTCTGTTGCACCAAGTTATGCCCCAAGTTCACTTATCCAACTCTGCAAAATAGTCCAAAACTACATGTTCTGCATAATATTCCCTCCCTGCAATGCTAAGTTCAAAAGGGGAAAAGGGTCAGAAAAAATAAGCAGGGAGAAGACACGTTGGGAGGTTTCCAGGTACTGAGTGATGACAATGCCTGATGGGTGCTTTGCAGCTGCAATTTTAGTCATTTGAAGTCAATTTACCCTAATGTGGTGGACTTGAACTTGCGCAGGTGTAAGTGGATGAGCTCCATTTAGTGGAGCTCAGGAGTGAGCTCAGTTGCCCAAGTACAGCAATTACTTTAAGGTTTTAGCCCTTCTGCCTCCTGAAGACCTCTCAAACTCAAAAGTTTTTTTTTTGTGTGTGTTTTTTTTGTTGTTGTTGTTGATTTTTTTTTTTTTTGGTCTAAAGAAGTATCTGAATTCTCTTTCCTTTTCCAGAATCGGTGGATAATTGTCCCAGTAATTGCTATGGGAATGGAGACTGCGTGTCTGGCACTTGCCATTGCTTCCTTGGCTTCCTGGGCCCTGACTGTGGTAGAGGTAGGAATTTATACTTAATAAATTTCCTTTCCCCCTCCTCTTGGTTAATATCTTTCTTTGTGGAAGTTATAGCCATCCTTGTGGCTTTTGCAAAGTACACCTTACCCGGACTGGGGATGCTCCAGAAGAGCAAAAACGGATTGGATCTGCAGATTCAGTTTTCACTTGCCACAATTGCTCTGACCTCAGCTTGTCACACTGTCAAGCAAAACGTCACGTCAGTAGCTTTCTGTCTGAGACTGACTTTATCAAACAGGACTTAAAAATGTAGCACTACAGCTTGTTTAGCAAACCATTCTGTTAGCGTGTGGTGGGGTCTTATAACGCTGCTTTATTTTAAGACATTAGTGGTAGAACCCTTAAGTACCTTTTTTTTTGGCTGCTGCAAGTGTTGCAAGTTGGCCTCGGCTATGCGTGATCATGAACAACAGCCTTGCTGTGGGGAAGGAGCCAGGTTAGAGCATGGCAAGGAACGGAGTGATGGCAGGAGAAACTGGATACTCCTGCCAAAAGTGAAAACATCGGGTTGACTTGTGAAGGAGGCTGACCCCCACAAACAATGTGTTTTTCTCTGCTTAAATGAAAAGTGTTTCGTAATAAATCATTTTGGATGATAACGCAAAATGTTTAGGCTATTTAAACATTAAATTAAAAAAAAAAGAATTGGAGTACATATAGTAAGAACATATTTCAGACTGAGAAATCAAAACTTTGCATGTGGAAAATGCCTGAGGCAGAGCTCCAGGATCTTTTTTTTTTTTTTTTTTTAATCTGAAACAGTTCAACAAACTAAATGTAGATTCTTAAATATTAGGAGTAAAGGGGTGTTTAAAGTTAGTTCTCACACCAAGAGCTTTGTTAAGGCAACAGGTCAGGCCCTCAGCCTGGACCGTTGCTTCTTGGCCTGAAAACAGGCTGGACCTCTTCCCAGAAGAGAGCCAAACTCTCTCCAACCCCACATCCTGCAGCCCCCGCAGTGGCCCCGTGGGGCTGGGCCCACATCACTGTAGGCTGGCCAGGAGATAAGGACATCTGCGTGCCCCCACCCGTAGGGAGTTATCTGCTGATGTGCTGTGGGCCAGGCTGAAGCCCCGAGGTGTTGCAGAGTTCACAGCCCAGTAAGATGGATGTGACGGTCCCCATCTCTGAGAGCCGCCGTGTCCATCTCCTCGCTGACTCGGGTTACACTTGGTTTGCATTTCCTTCCAGTTGGTTTGCATTTCCAAGCTCCTTTCTCAGAGCTGTTGATCTGGAGACCAAAGGAATTTTTCTGCCTTCCACAGCGTATTCCTAATCACCTCCTAGTTTTATTTAGGCGCTGACGTTTGGAGGCACCGTCCCCCAAGGCTTCCCACAGAGCCAGTGTAGGAAAAGCTCCTTCACTTCGGGTCAGAATACTTGATCTTTGGTTCTGAATCCACTTCCCAAGGAACTTACTTCCCCTTCCCTACCCAGGTTATATACAGAGCCTGCCCAGGCGCTTCGGTTGAGCCACAGGGGTATCTCCCATTTCACAGGACTGCTCGCTCTGACTTGAACACCTCTGATTTCAGTCAGTCTTCGGTTCAAAACCATCTGGGTCCAGATCAGTGTCTGCCTTTAGGAGAACAGGTTGTGAAAATGCTCTTTGTGTCTGCACTTCCATCCAGTGGACTTGTTAAATAAATCGTCTCACCTTGAACACGAAATACGAGGGCCCCAGCACTGGCTTCCTAGCTGTTTTCAGTGGAACCTAAAATGCTGCTTTTGACTTACAAACCTTTCCTCAGAGGGCAGCAACCATAGTGCGTTTAAGACAGCTAAAGTATCTGTCTGCAGCAATATATTTCTTCCGGTTCTGAGAGGTAATCCTCATATAAGCATGTCCCACTGCAGGATTTCTGAGTCCTACATATCCTGGATGTTCCTGTGTGTCAATTCTGCTGTATAGTTCAACATCCAAATGCATGGGAAAGTGTGGAACAGAAAGCCCATGCTTTTTTTCTTCTCTTTCTTGTAGCAATTGGAAGAAGGGATAAGGAACTCTTGTTATAAAAATGACAGTTTATTATTAATGTATTGTTAGCCAATTATTTTAAACAACATAGATGAAAACAAATTGCTAGACATATTCTAGGGCCTTCAGAAAACCTCCTTGAACATGGCAGAAGGTGTTTCAAATTTCTGTAGAAAGCAAAACAAACAAATAAATGAATAATGTCATTTTCTGATGTGAAACTCTTCAGAGAAAGTGGTGGCCATTTGGGCTATCCTAGCCACCCTAGAGAATTACTGTAATTTAGGCCTCTTAATTTTTTTTTTTTTGCCTCTTAAATATTTTTTTTATTGAAATGGAATCTGAATGATAAAACATTAATTATATATCATTATATATAGAAAAGAGTGTGCAGGGAGCAGTGGAAAAAATCCAGAATTCTCTTTTGTGTTTATTCATTGTGGTGTGCCACAAAAGAGGTCTTGTTCTTGCTGCTGCCTCGACATTTGCAGCAGCACTTTCCAGGTTGTGCTGAAGGTGTTCTCCATGGAGATCTCTATAGCGGAGCCGTTTTGTTGCAGATGGCCAGCAATTTATCTGATCCTGCACTGAGTGATCAGCTGTCTTGTCAGAAAGCATGTAAGTCTTTCTCAGCCACCTCTCACTGGTTAAAGGCAATTATTCTTCCTTCTTGTTGAAAAGAGCTCTAGGCTATCCTCTTCCAGTACCTTCAAAGAACTGGCTCCGTTGCTGAGCATTTGAAATTTGAGACAGGAGGGTGGAAAATTCCATCAGTCTAGCTGAAAAGTTAAATTACAAAGTGGGTTTGCTGTGAACCATGTATACACCACAATGTATCTTAAACAATTTATGTCCTGCATTGTTTAAGTAGACATCTCCTTGGAAATGGTGCGCTTGAAACACACCATTCAAACGTACTTTGTGCTTCCTTGAGGTGAACAGAGGGGTCTTTAGTAATAACAGTTGCCAAACTTCTTTCTCTTTTGTTTTAGCCAGGCAAATATAGTTTATGGCGTATCAAACTGGCTTAAAAGTCAGAGCTGGCAATGTTTTGCATTGCACTGGAGTTGCTGTAACTCTAAATCTGAGGCACTCTTGCCTATAGTGTTATGAGAAAAGCAACATTGCACAGTTATTAACTGAATAGGTAGTAAGAAGAATGGAGGAATATTTCATTTAACCACTGTTACCTCCTCCTCCTGCCTGTACTCAGAGTCAGGAATGAAGCAAAAGAAGTTCATTGTATTAGTCGCATGCCTCAGACAGGTGAGTTAAGAAGCAGAGTGGAATATTCCATTCGCATCTGTGTCCTTCATAAAAATGTTCATAAACTGCCTATGTGAGGGACAGGGGAGAAGTGCAGCTGCTCTCACGTAAGGATAATGTGAGACAGGGAAGCAGAGAAGTCTGGGTCCAACATATGTCCTTGCACATGAGTTTCGGTGACATGAAACTGAGGAGAAGAGAATTAAGCAAGTGGATTTGCGACCAGGTAGTTAGCAGGGTAAGGCTACTATTTTTAAGGAAATAGGATAAAAATGGACAGAAATGGCCTTATGAATCAGCTGATTTTGCTGAGGGGAAAAAAAAGTACAAATACCAAGTCATTTAAATTCACATGAAGATCAGAGGATATATTTGGGGAAATATTTTATTCTTTTTATTATGGAAAGATTAGAAAGACTGGAGGCCAGTTTTGCCTTGTGTCTGATGATGAATGGAGTCCAGTGGAAGCAATAGCCATAAAGAGGGGGCTGGAGATGGGCATGACATGAACTAAATTAGGGAATAGTCTGAACATGACATTCTGCATTCTCTGAGCAAAGAAACCAAGACTGAAAAGTCGACAATTGCAGCGAGTGATTTGTGCACAGCTGAGGTCTGGGTAGAGGAAATGTCTTGGGAAGCCTGAAGTCTGGCAGCGTGTCAGGTGAGCGATAAGCAATTTAAGGTCGATGGTACTGCTGAAAAAAAAGACTATTATATCCAAAGTCAGAGTAAGATAAAGGTTTGAGTCTAGTCAGTAACCGAAAGCATCTCAAACACAGAGCAAGCCAAGAGCTAACCCAAGAGCGCTGTTTGTTCATTTAAAACATTCATAGGATAATGCAATTAACAGCAGAGTGTCATCTGCACAAAAGTCTTGGCCTTGGCAGGGAGAACAACATGCCTCACTGAAGAGTGTTTCTGAAGAACAGAAGTCCCAGGCTCTTTTGCTCCTTTACAAGCTGAGAGTCTTGTTCAGTTGTGTTTTAATGTGATCTCTGTTCCGTTCCCCCAGCATCCTGCCCAGTCCTGTGCAGTGGAAACGGGCAGTACATGAAGGGAAGGTGCTTGTGCCACAGCGGCTGGAAAGGCGCCGAATGCGACGTCCCCACCAACCAGTGCATCGATGTCTCCTGCAATAACCATGGCACCTGCATCATGGGCACCTGCATCTGCAACCCAGGGTACAAGGGGGAGAGCTGCGAAGAAGGTATTTGCAAGATGCATTCACTTAGCTTGCTGCTTTGTTGATATGTAATTACGTGGATGGAGGCAATTCTGGATAGCACTGGCACTTAAACAGAACAGTAATAGGCACCTTAGAGATACAATAGATGGATGCAACATAAAAATGATATGTTGTAATAACTCGTCGCTATCTATCATATTTGTTCAATAATTGGATGAAAAGCCATCAAACACTTCAGATAGACAAATCTAGCTGAAAGACCAGAATGTCTAATCATGTGTTCAAATGTTCTTATTAAAACGTCGTTTCCATTTACACATCTAAACGTATAATTATTTTTACAGTGCTTTCTTCTCTGCTGTGCTATGCCAAGTGATTTCAGTTGCTTACATATACAAAATGGTGGAGTATGAGGAAAAAGTCAGCTTTTGTCAGCTTTAAAAGCTCAGAAACATTCAAGATTTGAATTAAATTCTCCTTCAAAGTCAGGTGTTATTTTAATGGCTCTTCCGTAGCTTTTTAGCCCCCAAACATTTTTCATTTGCGTTTGTTTTGTGATTCAGAATACAATTACTTTTAGCATTTATCTTTTTTTTTAAAGGAAGACATCTGCCACCGTAAACCTTTATTTTAGCCAGTCTTTGACTGCTTCTTATTGATAAATGAAAAAAGTGGACTGTTTTGTAAGTTTACAAATCATGATGACCATTATAAAATACCTTCAGCAGAGACTGATTTACAGAATAATGTACAGCACTTTTGAAAATTATTCTCAAAATGCTATGCAGAAGATCTGAAAAATAATTATGTTTAATTTATGCTTCTACAAATGTTCTTATAAGGCCACTCTACCACCTGGTAGACTTAAGGCATGCGTTTGATATTCTTGTAAGAATTGCTGTCACTTGGAATAATTTCTGATTTTCTAGTGAGTGTGGGATAAAGATTTATCCGAAATGACTTTATTTAATGGACAATGAAAATAAGCTGAACTGGATTCGCGCATTCAAATAGCATCTAATCTAGCAATACTTTTGATGCATCAAATGTATTGGAGTGGGACATCCCAGGCATTACATGGATTCATTGTCAGTGAATGTTAGAGATGAAGACACTATCGTCTTTGGAAAGAGCTTAATTTTGGTGTAAGAAAGCACGGTTCCTTGAAGCTGTGGGGCATGTACAGCCAACGATGGGGACTACTGAAATATCTTTAAAGCACCTCCTTAGATCTCTTATGAGATCACACCTTTACTGGTTAAACAGATATGGAAAAACCCTGATTTTGCCTTCAGCTACAAATGTTTCATGTGTAACATTAAACAACGTGTGTAATTCAGAGTAACATCTGCACTTTTTCCAACAGGACCCTCTTGTCCCTTGTTTTGCTTTAAAGCAAAAAAAACCCTAACCTCTAATTAGTTATTTTATGTTATTGTAGCGGGGGATGGTATCAGTCCCACTAGGTAGAAACTTGAAAAGGAGAGAAGAACAAAGAGAGCATGACTTTTCTTATGAGCTGTTTAGTAGCTTCCCTAGCATGCATTTGTTTTCAGGATTCAAGGCATAATTTGTATTGTGTTAGAGGGGGAAGAAAGTCAGAAATATGCCATGTGGGAAATCTTCAGATTATATATGTATTTTTAAAACTAGTAAAAAAAGTTGATTTATATTATTTTTAAATTGCTTTTACTTTTTAATTTCTCTTCTAAGAAGGGCCATCTGGTATTGATTTCTTTTTATTATTTCTCAGCTCTTGTAGCTTCACTGCTTACTCTATGTTTATAACGGGTTTTCATTCCAGTGTTTCTTCTTTCTTTTCTTTTCCCGCCCTGTTCAACAATGTTTATAAAACATCAGCCAACAACCTTACACGAGTTTTTTCTTTACTCCTTCTTTAGTTTATTGGCTCATATTTTATAAGGCATGGAATAAGCCAGTGGGGCATTAAAGAGAGGGGAACAAATTTAAGCGGTGAAAAATGAGAAGTTACTCTTTGGTAAAGAATAAACCTAATATTGTGGGACCAATGAAGCATGTTGAAGGGGAAAGTGTAGTAGTATCTGCGCTAGCCTTGCTTGCTGCATGATTTATCTCCCTGGCAAAGGTTTTGCACAAGATTTGAACTATAAATAGGTCATTTTCCAACCAGAAATTAGACCATTTGGGACATTCACCAAGCAGCAACACAGACCTGTGTAAAACTCTGGTTTTGTCAAGTATGGTCAATTTTGTGAGCGCTTCTGCCTCCCTAGCTCCACATCTCTGCTTCTCCCAAAGCTGAGCAGCTCAATTTGTCAAGCCAAACTCCTGAAAAATATTCCATTGTATCCCAAATCCGCTAGGCAATTGGTTAAGAAGAAAGTAGAAGGCCCTACTGCTGTCCCAGGGCCCTTGCCAGGGTGCAGGAAGCCTGAAGAGATGGGGCTAGCGAGGCTGAGATTAAAGCAGCCTTTGTGTGTGACATTTTGTGAAAGGGCTCGTTTCAACATGAAAAATGCCCTTGGGATTATGATAAATGGGGGCTTCTGACATGCACATTCCCCTCCTATAATCATCTGTGTTAGAGCTGAGATAGCAGCTCGTCTGCCTCCTATGCTGGAGCCCCCTGCAAAATCCACCTTTTTTCCTGATGACCTTCCGAGGGGATGATTAATTGCCTGGAGGTAGCCTCTTGTCAGCGAGACCGTGATCTTTGTTCTCCACGTTCAAACCATCTGCTGAGAACGTCGGATACTCTGCTCGCCTCTTACTCTGCTCGCCTCTTTCTCAGTTCTTTTTTCCTTCTTATTACTGCTGGGGAAGAACAGGGCCAGGGCTCCAAGGGTCTCATGCTAAAATTGGCACCCTTGCTCTCAGCTCACGAGCACTGAAGGAGATTTATAGGCTCATCCTTTCCAGCATCTTACAATTTTCGAGGGCTGCTCCAGCTATGAGCAGGGCTCCAGGAATCAAACAAAACAGAAAATACTCTCGGCATGCCGTGGGATAGTAATTGCTGAGCCATTACTTGTCAGAGCCAGAAGGTTTTGTGAATCCAGGGAATTATCAGAGCAGCTGTTGTGTTTCTTTTTAAGGTTCCTGGATCTTATACAGGTCACTGGAATTCTCATTAGCTTTCAGAGGGGAAAAGCGGAGCTCCAACCTGCCGTGTGTGCAGTGGCCGTGTGCTGTTCTTGGCTGTTAGAGCCAGCAGCTGGGCCGTTTTCCTCTGTCTCCTTAGCCAGAATGACACTTGTCACCGATCCCCAGGGCACCGCCACACACCACTGCAAGAGATGGGAACAATTCCTCTAGCTCGTCCTCTATACATCTATATATAAATAGATGATAACTCCTCCAGTCCGTGTTCAGGAGGGAGTCTGGAGTGTTTCATGTTTTTCTTTTGCTGGGTGAAATTCCCCCATGGGCAGAGGAGTTGAGAGCTGCCAACAAAACACTTAGCTGGGGGATCACACGGCAGTATATTAAGTCTTTTAGTGCACATTCTTCACAAACAGCACACCCATCTGAAGCCCAACACACCCATCTCGTTATGAAAATGCCATTTCTTAAAAAAGGCTATTTAAAAAGAATATTCATTGTTCAAAAATGCAAACAGAAGATAACGCTATCCAATAAATAAGCATCATTTATTTGTAATCCTTTTTTTATTTGTAATCCTTTTTTTTTCCAAAAAGAAAAAAAAAGTCTAAGCAGATGTTTAACCTGAAATTCATACGTGTTTATCTGTAAAATCAGTAAAGACTTCAGCACATTCTTCAGTTTATTTTGCTGAATTGGGAGGTGAATTTCTGCTGAATCTTTATGTAGAAATTCCTGTCTCTGAAACCTAGAGCTCAGCTTTGAATTCATTAATAATAGTAATTTAGGTTATTATAATAGGATAAATGGAAGCAAGGTATACGTACAGGAGGGTATTATTCTAAACTTAATTGATATTTGCCTATTCTTTTTAGAAAGATCATTTATTAATATATGCCTGGATAAAAGAATGGATTTCATCATAACTTTTTTGTTTCTTGCTTTTCAGGTAAGTGTTTTAGCTCTCATTGCATCTCCAGGATGACGTCTTCTGGAGTGATACATCTGCTTAGAGATAATCTTCTCTTAGTGCACAACAGGGCTTGAGTTTCTTGCTGGAGCCCTGAGATGCTATACAGTAAATCTGTGTCTAGGGCAATCTAGCAGATGGTTTTTGAAGTTCCCCTGTGCTTCACCCTGTGTCCTTCCCCTCCTTTCTTGCACGCAGTGGACTGCATGGACCCTACGTGCTCGGGACGCGGCGTGTGCGTGCGAGGAGAGTGTCACTGCTCCGTGGGCTGGGGAGGAACCAACTGCGAGACGCCGAGAGCCACGTGTCTGGACCAGTGCTCTGGACATGGGACCTTCCTCCCGGACACCGGGCTCTGCAGCTGTGATCCCAACTGGACTGGACACGATTGCTCAATCGGTAACTTCAGCAATGCCTTACTGTTATTTTTCGTGTTATTTAAACTTTGTGAAATATTTAGACTTAGGTCCGCAACCGTAGTGCTGCAGATGTGTTCCAGTAAAGCATATGTAGGGCATGACTGGAAGCAGAAATGCCATAGCTCAACTACATAAATAATTCTGCTTCCATTTCAGAGTAAAGAGCAAGGTAATAAATAACCCCATTAAAGCCACCTAGGTTTGCTGTTATTCATTTTATTGATATGAATGTAATTGATGGTTTACATATAACCGCTTGTTCTGGTGTTAATTCTTGATGAATTCCAGTAGCCACCAAAGGGTGTGCTTTTATTTTTAGGACCTGATCAAATAACCTTCAGGTTTCTGCAAACCACAAAGAAAAGAGGTGGCAGTCTTGCAGATCTCGTTTCCCATTGGAGTCAGAAGGCCATGATTTTCTAGGCTCATCCAGAAGAGGATAAGACTCATATGAATTTCATATGGAAACAAAACATAAGCACTGTTCCATATTAAGCAAAAGGGTAGCTAAGTAGAAGCATTTCACAGTAGAGGCACCTACCAAGGAGACAGATTTGTTATGGACAGTTTTGTGTAGAGATTTGGAACTGTAAACTTCCTCTGTTCCTTAGCTAAATGTCAGCCTTTCTCAAAAACTGCATCAAGTACCTGGACTTGAAAAATGGAGGCTTAAGAAAAGCTATTTAGAAGCCTTTTTGCCTTTCTTCCAAATACAGTTAACTTTTAGGTGTGACATAGAGAAATGCTATAATAAATTAGGTAGTCAGGACCTATGGATCATTCCTCTCTTACCTTTTGTTCTGCATGCTGTGCTCACAAATAAGACAGCACAGCAGTTACAGCCTCTTTACCCTCACACAGAGGAGGTGGAAATAGGCCAAAAATCCAGGGCACCTCACTACTGGCAATGAAATGAAATGAACTCGCAGCAAAACAACGACAACAGCCACCAAAACTATTAAGAGCGTGGATGTAGAAGCAAAAATGCATAAAGGACATTTGCACTGAGGAATTGCTCTAACAATGCTGTAACAAAGAATTAGGTTAACTGCTTACAAGTATCTTAAAGAGAATTTCAGCTTAATAATGATGAAATGAATAAGCTGATGCAAAAGATATAAAAGGAATACCTTTTCCAAAATAAGTCTTGAGGTTAGATGTTAGGGATGTTGTCCTATGGTAAGCATGGCTGGAGAATCCAGGAAAGGCAGAGGTCCACTTGACTGGTATATATAAAAATAGATTGACCAAAACTTTTACAGTTATAGGGACGGAAGCTATTCTGCATTAGCAAGAGGATTAATTTTGTGACAACCTCTTCTTTTCTGCACCTTAATATCTTCAATTAAATACTCCATGTCTTCGTTTAAAAGACCACAGAATGAAGAAGGGTTGCAGTGTATTTCTAACAATTTTGTAGCATGATTCATAATTGAGTCATTATTTTGAGTTTATGTAGAGTTTTGTGGATTGCAGGGATGGATTTGGAAAAATGTTCTTTTCTACACACAAACAGAAATCACTTTCTCTTTGTTAACCTGCAGGGTCATGTATAGATGATTTATAAGCTTTCCTTATACTGCTTTTATAAATCCATCTAGTGCAAACTTTCTTTGGCAGTGTAAGGTTATTTGAGACACACTTGAGCATCATTCCAAGACCTTTTTCTGCACAGAGCTGCTTGTAACATTCAGGTTATTGTGCCTCACAGCTAAAATCACAAGTAAGGTGATTTGTAAACTTCCATTTCTAACCCAGCCCTTTCCACTGAATTGATGACTTGATTTGAAAGACAGATTTACTCACAGGATGTGTGCTACTCTTTTTGCATGATTAAAATGCAGTGAGCAAAAGTGTTAGTGCAAGCCACATAGCCCAGTGGGGTGGAGATTCTGTAGAAGGAATTAGAGGGGACAGATTTTATTGCCCTGTAAAACAGAAATAAACAGCACAGAAGAATTATTAAGTGAAAGAATTACATGTTTGCATAAATCAGTGTCAGTTCAGCAAGGCAGCTGGGCTTGTGTTATGTCCCAATGAAATCTATAGGACTGTGGCTGCAGGTGCCAGTGCCAAAGGACAGTTTGCAATCCACATTGAGAAGTATATTCTAAGAACAGCCTAATTATCTTGAAAGCCAGAATAAACGGTGAGAAGAAAACATGAGTTTTCCAGCTCTCAAAGTCTTTAAGTCAGAGCCTTATTGGAAATTGTTCTGCATTTATTTGTAAGTTATCAGTCAGTAGAGGAGTAGCTAAATGAAAGTCTGTGGCTTGTCCTCTACAGAACGTAAGTCTAGACCGTCTGTCCACCTTAGACTCTAAATCTTTCAGGTAAGTAGGTAGATTTCGCCTGCCTTTGATGGAAATCTAAGATGATCACAGATTGCTGGATAAATCCCTTAGGTTTTTCACAGGATAATAATGTTACAGAGATTCTATTTCCTGTTTCTGTCTCTTTTTTTCACTTCGATTAGCCTGTGTCATCAAAGACCAGAAGTGCATTTCAGTTTATTTTGAGTTCTTCCCTGCACAGTATTGTAGAAAGAATTAATAATGATTTTGGTTTTTGTGTGTGTCCACTGCCAATATGGTTTCGGAGATGGCTGCTGCCACATTATTTCGCTTTTCTGTTCTTTAGCAGGAAAAAATCCTCTAATCATGTTTCCTTCTTTCATACAAGGAACAGTTTTTCAGGGTCCCCATTTCCTCGCATGGAGTTCTTTTTTGGGTGGATTCCCAAACACAAAATATCTTGTTGTGAAGGCTGCAGAGGTAAGCCCAGTGATAACCGTAGTCAGAAGAAAAAGAGGCATCTTGAATTCTGCCAGGAGAGGATAAAGCCACACTCCTTTTTGCATCTTGGTGCTGCTGTTGTACAGACAAAAGCAAAAATGTCCTTTATAACCCAGTTCAGTTAATCCAAGACAATGCTTAGTACAAGAGGAATAATTAAGGAACTGCTCATCCTAACCCCTTTTCTCCAGAGCCTGCAATCACAGATTTGCTGTATCCCAGGCTTTTGGCGTGCTGGCTCCCTCACCTCTTAATGAGCCCTAGCAAAGGATCCAGCTCTCCGAGCACGGCAGCTAATGAAGCCCTTATAGGGCAGCTCTTAACCTCTTATGGGAAGAAGGAAATGGCCTGTGCTGCAACATAAAACAGAGTTTCATATGTGATAAAATCTCACTGTTAACCTATTTAAATCAAACCAGATATTTCTGGTAATCTAGGGGCTAAGATTGTGTCTTAGGAACACGTGTCATAAGAGATATTTAAGTGTAGTGAAATGAACAGGCAAATCAGCTTATCTGCATTTAGGCCACCATTTCCCAAGAGGATCTCACTGGTGAATCAGTAAAATCCTGCGACCGTAAGAACAGTTTTATATTTTGATCCAAAATCTAATTAAGTTATCTAATGTTGTCTTTTACTCTCCTCAAATTACTCTCCTCAAAAGCAGCAATTTTCACATTGTTGTTTATTTGTCATTGACACCTTGACATGCACAGTATTTATTAGAATCATTTGAAACTTGATTATATAAAGCAGGAATAGAAATTAATTTTTCTACACGGTAATATAGTATTTTTTTCTGGACAGTGGACTATGGCCGTACAGTATTTGCATGTAGATAAGGATTCCTTCTCCACCACTCATTGATATTGACTCACTGTCTGCACAATTGACATTGAAGGCAATACTTTGCATGCTTAAGAGTGAACTGGAGAAGAGCAGTAATAGGAAATATTACTTTGTACCTGGGGATCCTGAATTGGCAGGTTCATAAAATCATAGGTTGTACATTTAGTGATTAACGTTGGGAAATGGAAGCTGGGACTCACTAAGGCAGTTTTATTTCATGAGGTTTTACTTCACATGTTGAGAAGGCTAAGAGAGCAAGTCTGGCCAAAGATTGAGACTGAGCTTGCATGGGGATATTTCATTAAATCTGATCTCATCTGTAGGTTCTCTCACCACTTCTGTTCCTAACAGGGGTTTTTGGAGAACATATTTAACATTATGACTGCCTTTTTCCCCTTTATGACATGGAGGAAATAATACTTTCTAGTGATTTATTGCCAGTCTTAGTTACTAGGGTGTATATATTTAAGTATTTATAATTTACCTTAGGCAAATGCAGGTTATCTACTTTAATACAGTGTTTCAGAGAAACATATGCTCAGCTTTTGAGAGGTCTCAGCACCTGAAACTGTGCACTGAAAAACTACCTTAACTTTCAGAAGTTCTGTGATGGTGTATATAGCCAGTGTTTTCTCAGTGAGAAACCATTGAACCTGCTTTCCCATTTAGTGTAAGATTATCCCAAATGGAAGCTGAATGCACAGTCTACAGGCAGCCATCATCTCAAAGAAAAGATTAAGCTGTCTGGGTTGATCCAAAAGGATGCAAAAGCTGAGGACAGGGTTTTCATATCCTGAGCCTCAGGGTCAGCTGAGCATCTTCCTGAAGAACACACCAAGTCCAAGACAGGCGCAGGGTTTCAGAGGATTCCTCTCCTCGGCATTTCCTAATGGTCTGCCCACCACGCTGGGAACTTGTATTGACTCTACAACTTGTGTCTAGAGAGTCCCAGGCCCAGATCCTCTGAATTTATTTCATGGGTTTTAGGCTCTTAGTTGGTGTTTATAAATTCCACTGCTGGAGATGAGTGCGAAGACTTGAAGCACTTCACCTCTCATGCTGGCCATACTTAATGTGGCTGGTTTTGGTTTAATGTGGTTGGTTTTGGTTTAAGCCCAGTTTCATGCCGTTCACTCCTGCCTCTAGGCGCTTCCTGTGACTTGGCCAATTTAGCAGGATCGTTGTCCTAGAGAAGAGGGACAGCTGCAGACGACTGCTTAGATCATAGATGGATGTCCCTGAAAGAGAGCTTAATTGATTCCTCATTGACTCTGCTGCCTCCTCATCTGGATACCTCATGTTGCTTTGGAAGAGTTGGGCTTTCAGCCTATGAGAG